GAGACCCGTCCCCAAGCCATACGAGTAAGCTAGATTGTAGTTTAGAGCCAGGACGGTGACAGCGGCTGCCCAGTGCCAGCAGAAGCACATGGTGAGGAACATGATGTTGCTGTGGTCCTGCTCATCCCACATCGGACCTCCCCACGGCTGGAACAGCACGACCCCGATCTGGGTGGAACAAGCAATTTATTACATTGAGGGGAAAAAAAAATAAAAATCAATGTACTGAAGCCCTCCAGCACCCCTCTGTCCACCTGGGTTATCACCATGATCCGTGTGGTGACCGAGGGTCTTGAGCCCTGACCAGGAAAGTGGGTTTTGCTGAGACAGTGCTGGCCTCATGAAGCCCAGCCTTGCAGGGAGAGGCCACGCAAAGCCAGTCTGCGCCTGCAGTCCCTCTTTTGCTGTCCAATATCCAGACACAACCGTCCCTCTGCATTGCAGGCTCCAAGCCATCCTTTAAAACCCCCAAATTTGGTATTTTACAAGCTCAGCCCAGTCTTTAATCTCTGAATAAAAGCTGGTTTGAGTGAGCGCAGCAGACCTTGGGCTGAGAAAGAGGAGGGGAACTCACAGGTTTTTTTGGAGTCTTAGTTTCAGGAGAATCACAGAATCACAGAATAGTAGGGGTTGGAAGGGACCTCTGTGGGTCATCTAGTCCAACCCTCCTGCCTGAAGCAGGGTCACCTACAGCAGGCTGCACAGGACCACGTCCAGGCGGGTCTGGAATATCTCCAGAGAAGGAGACTCCACAGCCTCCCTGGGCAGCCTGTTCCAGTGCTCCGTCACCCTCAGAGGGAAGAAGTTCTTCCTCATGGAGAGGTTATCTCCAACTGATTTCTTTGCTTCTCCGCCTACTACCAAAGCAATCAGCTGGCCGTATTTTTTACTCAGCCATTTTATTGCTTGGTGGGGTTTGCGTCTTGCCACTAAACCAGAGGGAGTGCTGCAGGGTGCATTAGACACGTTAGTAATTAGCACTTGGTTGTTAGATACTGTCAAATGTTGCTCACACGCTGCGAGCGCTCGCTTTTCCTCTTCCCCCCGGAGAAGCAAGAAGCCAAGCCACTAAGTAAATTTTCATTCTGCTTTATGATCTATTCATGAAGCGAGCCTGGCAAAATGATCCTTCAGAGACGTGTGATGGATACGTGATGTACGGCTGCTTCTCCTCTGTTCCCATCGCTCTCCTACCTCGGTGCTCTGCTCCGCAAGAGAAGGCAGAACTGACCTGCCAGAACCACGTTCCCTGGATGATGGTGACACCGGCTCTGAACATCTCCAGGACGATGTTGTCGCGGAGGAAGACCTCCAGCATGGTGCTGCAGGCCCCGGAAAAGATGGCGATGAGCAGCAGGGAGTGGATATGCTGATCCAGCATTGGGCGGTGAAGGACGTGGTAATAAAAGAGACAACCTGCCAAAATACGTACCACGCTTAGAGCAGCACCGGCAACACCAACCATGACCACAGAGCCTTTGGAGAGTAAATCACCCACCCTGTTGGTGAATTGAGACAGGTCACCATGAAAACAAGGGACTCCGGGTAGCACCACCCCTCCAGGTCTCCTGGCATCCCACCATCCTGGAGGGATGAGATGCCCAGCCTCGGGGCAGGAGGATCTGAGCGAGGCGGAGACCAAAGGCAGAAGACAACAGAAGGATGGTTTTCTTCCCATGTTGGTGCCATCACCTCTTCAGATCACCCTGCCCTCACAGCCAGGTTCCTGCTGTGTCCTGCTTTTTCATTGCTAAACCTCACCATTTCTTGAGGGTTGGAAATTGTATATTTTCATCTCTTACATGCCAAACTTTACCCGATGTGCTGCCCCTGCTGCTGCTTCATAAACCGTTGGGATTGGGGAAGGGAAAATAGCAGGAGGTGTGCCTTCATTCAGGGGTTCTCTACACAAGCAAGACCTTCATTTCCTAGTGTCTTTTACCTCTGGGATCCAAGAGGGGTCTGAAAGCTTGGCTTGCAACTTGCAAGACAGCCTGAAGACAAAATAATATTCGCGATGTGCTGAAGCCAGAATAAGTCACTTGAATTTGCCACGTGCAATGCAAGCAGATGAGGATGACGATGCCTGCAGTGCAATTAATGGCTCTCGGGGGGGAACGCGGGGCACGCAAACAGCTCTGTAGATGTAAGACAACTGGCAGCATCCACCAGCCATTTATCATAACGAGGAGACTCAGCCTGCTGCTTTGTACTGCTGTCACCCCAGAAATCCCAAACCAGGCAAAGCCAGGACCTACTGATGCCTGTGTTTCCCATCTTGCTGCAGACCCCCCCTCCATAATGTATCACCTACAACATGTCCTATCTTCAGGGGCGTTCAGAGCAATACCTGTCTGGCAAATTTTGGTCCCTCTCTGACTCACCCTCCAACATCCCTCCCTGAATCAAGCGCCATCTTCTACCGACCTTCAACGAACACAGCCACGGACAGCATGAGGCGATCCAGACCCCGTGGCACCACCTGGGAGACGTAGGTGAAGACGTCCACCACCCCGGAGAGGCCGTAGAAGAGGTACATGGTGGTGTGCTGCCAGTTCATCAGCTTCACCCAGTCGCGGTTCTCCCCGCTGTAGAGGTACAAGTGTGGACCGTCCGGGACGAACTGCTCTGCCAGCATCCCTGCACGGACACGCGAGATCACGTCATTGCTGATGGTTTACACGCAGTGATGGTTGACGCTACTCATTGCTGCGGGGAGGTTCTGAAGCAAGAGCTGATGGCTTGGCGTTAGGGAGAAAGGGCTGGGTATCAAAATCAGGCCTGTGTACATTAGTGGTAGCTCAGCTTTGAGAAGGGGTACAAGACCTGGTCTTTTCACGTCAAAAGCTACTAGAGATCAAGACAAAATGAACATCAAGGAGGCATCCTTCCATGTCTGAACCGGTTTCTCTGGAATAAGGACACCAGTACAGTCAACACTACAGGGAAGTTACCAGCGTAGCTAGTAAAATATAACCCTTACCTATGAGAGCAAAGATGATTTTGATTCCCCCTTCGATGGCATCCACACGCTGGAAACAATAAATCCTGTGCGATTTCTTCTTTACTTTCTGGCTAAGATGCTGCAGCGGGTATTTCACAGACCACCAGAGCCCAAAGAGCAGGAAGAAACTGCCTGGGAGCGCGTGGCCCTTGAAGTTCGCCATCCTGACAACGTCCTCCAACTACAAGGCAAAGAGAAAAAATGTCATTCTACAATGTACACCAGTATTTGACATAACGCCGGGAAAAAAGGGGGTTTGTTCCCTTTGCCTTCCAAGGAGGACTGGAAAAGGCAGATGGGAATAGGATGGAGCGCTGGGAAGCCCTCCAAGGGTGAGAGGTGGGAACATCTCTGAGGTTCTTGCCCTGAGACGAGGAAATGTCATAAAAAGCTGGAGCCCAGACTGGTTTAGCAGAGGCCCCGTATCTGCTGCAATCTCTGACACATCCCAGCCCAAACCTCGCATCCCCTGGGATCTCGCACGGCCGCAGCTCCTGCTTTTCCTCCCCGCGAGAGCATCTGCTGCAGACCAGGGCAGCGCGGGCTTTTCGGGACCAGGCAGGAGAGGAAATACACAGGGAAAACAGTGAGGTCTGGGGGTAAACATCTGCGGGTTCAACTCTCTGAACAGCCACAGAAGTGGTGTGCTATGTCTGAAGAGTTTTTAAATTCCTGGAATTTTTTCAGCCTGTAGAAGGGGGAAAAAAAGCCACCCCACAACTATTTCGCAAAGCCAAAGCATTTTGCTACAAACGTAGCTTCAACAATACCCCAAAAGCTGCTGGAAACAAAACATTTTGGTTCTGGGCAAAGAAACAAACTGGCTCCCTGCGTCACCGCCTCCTCCCACCCCTTCTTCTCTCTCCGGAGCATCACTAAACCGGGATTTGCACCGCACAGAGCCCGGGGATCCCAGCCGAGCTGCTCGAGCCTCCGCACCCCTCCGTGCCGGAGTGCAAGGTTTGTCGGAGAGCCGGGGGACCCGTTTCCGAGGAGAATTACAGCAATTAAAACCCAGCCGGCTCCTGCTTGCCATTTGCTAGTTGGCTTAATTAGGTGGAGAAACGATTAGCTCTTTGATGTGGGCTCGAGCATATGTTTGGGGGCCTGCCTTGGCGCGCTCGTGGGTCGGCTGTGTCAGGCTGGTCAATTAGGATTTTTTTAATAAATTGCAAATTGCTGGTACCCCGGGACTTCCTTTTCCGCTTAGTAATGCTCCTCTCTGCACCGAGCCGAGCTGAACGCCGGGCAGAAACCAGCTCTCCCGCGGTGCTGATGCCATCCATCCATCCCCATAGCACAGGGGCTGCATAGGTTGGCACTGGACCTGACCTCCCCATCCCAGACCCTCATGGTCTGGTTATGCTTAAACCACCTTCCCCAGCTGCATTTTGGGCTTCGGTCCTCAGTCGCTGGAAATATAAACCGAAAAATGCTCTTATTCTGCTGCTGCCTGCCTTCTGCACGAAGGATAAGTTGGGTGTGAGGTTGAACATGGCTTGCTGCTGCCAACCTTTGAGAGGGGAGAGCGGTTGCTTTGGCTTTATTAACATCTGATTTCAGGTTGGTTTGTCCCAGGGACAACTTGTTTCGCCCCAGGAAGTCCATACCCCCAGAGCTCGGCTGGGTGCAGATACCATCTCCGAGAGGCGCCTGTCCCGGGGCAGGAAAATCCGCCGGGTTAGATCAGACCTGCTAAAGCCCTGTAACCGACCTGCCCGATTCCAACCGGTTTAACCAAACCAGCACCTCGAGCAAACAAACGTTGCCTTCTCATGCAAACAGCACCCCGGTGCGTACCCCTGTGTGCAGCAGCAGACGGGGCTGATGCCCTTGCAGCTTACACCAGGCTGGTCCCGCAGTCCTGCCCTCACCAAACACCTATGAGCTACCACTGAGGGTTTCGTGGAAACAAATTTAGGAGAGGATTTCACCCGTGGGTGGGAAAGCTGTGCGTGGAAATAGTATTTTCTGCCGTATTGGTTAGCAGCTTTGCAGGTGGTTGTCTGCAGCGCTGCAAGGCTCTACCTTATTTCATGACTTAAAAGGAGAGGTTTATGGACAGCGGGCGCACCGGGTAATTAAACACAGAATCAAAGCAAGACGCTGTTCGCCAGCAATGCGAGCACAGTCCAGTGGGTTAATACAATAGCCTCTTTGGACAGCCAGGGAATGGGAGCATCCACCTGTATCCCTGTGATTTAGGGAGCAGCATAGCCAAGCCGGGGAAATGGCTGAGAAATCTGGATTTTTCTAGGTGAGCAGCAAACTCCATCACATGGTATAATATGAGGCTAACGACTAAAAGCAGAACTAAACCCATACCACAAGAAGTACGGCGACCATATCATGCCATATTAATGTCATAATTACAACGCTGCCACAGCAATATATGTCAAATCTACACCTCCATGAACAAGCTCCGGCGGTTATATTGGAAAGGCAGATATTTAATGGGACCCGATGGTTTCCCACATGAGATCAACGCGGTCAAAATGGGGTGACCTAAAGGATACCCTGATCAATCAAAGCAGTGAAACTTAAAGGTCACCTAAACGGAGCACGCACAATCTGGCCAGCCAGCACGTCTACCGGCGCTTACGTGCGCCGGACTGGTGCGGGGTTGGTGCCGTGCGTACCTGCCCGATCGCTCGCTAGCAGGAAGCAGGGTGGCTAATCTGGGCCACATGACCAGCAAAACTATTTCTCCTGCTTCTCCTCCTCCTCCAAAAACATGCAAAAGGTGAGCACAGGGTGAAAAAACCCAACAAAAACCAAACATGTTTTCCACAGTGAGTGCCCTGGAGCAAGGAAGTCTTGTTTACCCACGCAGCTCCCAAAGCAGCAGGACTTTGCCCGCACTGGTGAAAAGAAATAGCTGAAGGTCTAGCTGATGTTGGGGCCGGCAGCGACAAGGGGCATCCCTGCAAAGCGTGACTTTGCCCCGTTCCCTCGCCATCTCACCTACACCTTTGATAACACACCCACACCTCAGCTGGCTTGTAATTAATGCCCTTTGTCCCCTGTTTATTACACCACGGCGCGCCGCGCCAGCTTAATGATTTACTGTTTCATTTGCTCTTATCACCTCCCAGAGGAGCTGGTTTCTTCTTGGTTTACAGCCAACGCGCCCAACCGCCCGGAACGGCGTCCAGAGCAGCAGGGAGGATGGCGAAGAGCTTGACTAGGCTTGCACCTCCTCCTCTCCCCCTGCCCTGGCAGCCACAGGTAATCTCTTTCCAGCCAAACCCTGGGCCCTCTGAGGTTTCCAAAGGTCTCACCTGCCTTACCGAGTTTCATTTTGTAAAGGTTTTATTAGTGCCTCGATAATGGCTCGGTCAGGGCATCACTTCCAGTCTCCCCAGCTTGGAAATTACAGTGTAAAGTTCGCCACTGGAGAGAGGTCGCAGCCATCACTCCCACAATTAACTCTGCCCCTCGACCTCCGCAAATCAGGGAGTTCAGACACACCAGGGCTGGCTTGCTCGCCGGGGGACCTGCTGCCTGGCTCTCCGAGCGTCCGCGGGTGACACGGACGGTCCCGGGGGAAAGGCTGACTCAGTGAAGAACAGAAATGTCTCAGCTTGCTAAAAAAAAATAAAAAAAGGCTGAGCTCAGGCTGAGCTGGGGAATGCCACTGAGGTGTGTACCTGGAAATAACCAAGCTGTTTCCAACCTCTCGAGATGATTTGGAGCTCCTTGTGCTGAGTCTTGGACTGTGGGAGACCCAGACCTGCAGACCAACAGCGCCTGAGGTGCTTTGGCCAAAAAACCATCCTCCATCAGCCCATTCCCTACCCTGCATGCTCTCCGTGTGCGTCTCCGAACACACCGTAACCCTACAGCCCCAACACTCTGCCTGGGAGGGCAGGCAGGGACACCCCAACGGGCTGACGGGAGGAGAAGACGTGGAGGTGAGATAACCGCGCCTGTGCAGACAGGGAGATGGCAAAGGAGACACCCAAGAGATATCAGGAGAGGCATCTCCTGCCAAGATCAGCTCCCCTGTTGCCCGCTGCCTGCCCGCGCTGCCTCGCTCCATTACCAGCCCTGTCTTATTTGTCTGCAGAGACGCTTCTAATCATAGCAGCGCTTCCATTAGCTCCCCTAGGAGTTGGATCCCTAATGCATTAACGTCCGCCTAAAACCCCACTCTAAACCATTTCATCCCATTATCGTTGGTTTTTTCTTCCCCATCTGCACCGAGGAGCGTTAACGGCGACACCGAGCAATCACGTTATTTGTTACTAATACTCACGGCGTCTGCGAAAAAACAGGAAAGGAACTTTCCTGCCTCTAAAGGATCTTTAGGGGCTTTAGTCTTGGGTTAAAAATGATCATCATCGTTGGAACCTATTAGGCTCAATTGCCGGGGAGTATCTGAAGGACCATCAAGTGCTGCAGGCGGTTGTACGGCAGCTCCGGATAGACACGGGAGATAGACCGAGCTAATCCGAAAACAAAGGCTCACTGCAGTGGGAAAATTCAACCTGGAAGTTCAAACTGAGATGGAAGCTTCAAACCCGGGATGCTGGGCCTGGGGTCGATTGAACAGACTCCATGGACCCACCTGAAAAGAGACACTGGGGGGGGGAGAGACCGAAATGCTGGCGATGGAGAGGTTATGTTGCTCTCTGCCTGCTGCCGCTGTCTCTTCCTTACGCTGCCTATTTTTCCTTCTGTTTTATAATTCCCTGCTTTGGACTCTCCACCCCTACCCCTGCGCCGAGCCCCGCCACCAGGGAAGCAGCAAGAAGCAGCTCCGAGTTACAGCCCAGCAGAGAAAGCTGAGAAATCAAACAAATTAGCCCAAGCCATCTCAATTACAGGGGCTCAGAGCGGGCGCCTCGTCATCCTTTTGCTCCTCTTTACGATCCGCATTTGTTTGTTTGTGGTTTTAAGGCAACGAGGTCTGACTTTAAAAATGATCTGTTTTGGGAAACGTGCTTCGCTGTCTTAAAAGCCATTTTTTTTTCACCTCTGCGGGATGCCTAAGAGATTGAAATGCTTTCCAAAGGTGGTGGTTGCCACGGGACCGAGGTCTGTGCACCCAACTGCATCCCCAGCTCCGCGGTGTGGGGTGATGGAATAGCCCCGACTCCGCCAACCCCCAGTGCCTCACAACTACCGACACAAAACAGACTCAAAACTGCTGCTACCACCACCATTAAC